ATCACCACATCAACTACTTCATCCTCAAACCAGACACCAGCCAGCCTGCAAGAAGACATCGCCACTTTAAATTCCCATAACAGCCACCTGCAACTACGCATTAAAGCCATCAAACAAAGCCAACTAACCTATCATTCCAAGCATACCTCCTTCCTCAAGTCATCACATCAGCTCAACAAAGGCCATCAACTCCATCATCAACTAAACAAAATCAACAATGCCCACAGACTCTTCCTCTACCTATTCAAGACAAGAAACACCCTTTCCTCTTCTAACACCGCCCATATCATGGAACAGAGTCTAAAGTCACAACGTGCCACTTTTACTGAATCAGAAAAAATCAAACTATCTTCATCAAACAAAGTTCACAACTTCACTTCCACACCACTGCCACCTGATGCCATCTCTTTACTCAACAAAGGAACTAACTTCATCCCTACCACCACCACGCCAAGCATCTCTTCTCTCCAAAAAACCATCGAATCTGAAGTCAACACAGCCCTCTGTTCCCTTATCCGCAAGAAAAACCACACTACCAAGCTCAACTCATCTAAAACTTCCAAATCACTTCTCCGTTTCCATCCTTACCGCAATCAGATGCATCCACTTCCTTTACTACAACAAGAACAATCACGACCTCACTTCAACCTTCACCTCATCGACTATGTTCACAATACTGTTTCTTTCACTAAAGAATTTTGACAACCTGCTAAATTGCGTTCTATTATTTATCCTAAATTATGTAACACCCTCACACACACCACAACGTACAGAACGACAATGACGTAATACTTACAGTTTCTGACAAAAACATGGGTTGGGCTCTTGTGCCTACCTCATGGTTCTCCACCAAGTACAAACGACATCTCTCCGACCTGTCTACCTACAGACGTATTGACAACTTTAACTGTAAACAAACCATCACTAACTCCCACACACTACTTGGCCAACTCAAAAAACGATTCTCAACTGTTATCACAAACCATGACAACTCGCGACTGTTGGACCCCACCCCAGAAGACAAACTACAACTACCCTACATGAAGCTACTACCTAAAGTACATAAACTCGACAAACCTGCATCCTACGGCAACCTGAACAAACTAACTGGGAGACCTATTATCACTACGCACAGCTGGATAACATCCAACCCCTCACGTCTACTGGGAACTGAACTAGACAGTATTATTTTACAACTGAAAAACCTTTTTGAAGAACGAAACATACCATACCCTTTGATTTACAACTCATATGACTTACTGCTTTTATTAGACAAACTACGTATTACCAACATGTGCGACTTATGTGTCACAACTTTTGACTTCACATCACTTTACACAAATATTTGATACCATGACACCACTCAAGCCATCATTAAGAGCTGTAAACTGCTTAATTTGCCTAATTTTTATAGGGATTATTTGCTTAACCTCAATAATTTTATTAATCAACGTAACTATTTTAGGACTGGTAATACCATCTACCAGCAAATTAAAGCGGTTGCTATGGGCAGCTACCATAGCCGCCAAATTGCGGACCTCGTGCTCCTACTAAGCGAATTTTCATTTTTTAACAATACTAACTGCCCTACTAATAGCATTTTTATTTTCTGCCGTTATATAGATGATGGATTTATGCTAACCAGCAAAGCTAAATTACCTAATATCATCTCTAACCTCTGCAGCTCTTACCTGTCACAAATACCTCTAACTTTCACATCAAATCACCATACCACTCATTACCTAGATCTCACTTTGTCACTCAACCACTTCACCATCAAGTCCCACAGGGTGCATCATCAGATCTACCAGAAACCACACCATAAATACATGTACCCTCATTTTTCATCTAACCATTCCCATCACATTTTTGCTGGTATCATTAAAACTGAAACTATACGATACAGTAGACTTTCAGCCACAATAGACGGCTACAACTTCATTCACCACCTTTTCACACTTAGACTTACTGCGTTAGACTATCCTTTACAACTGATCACTGAACATTCATTTCCATGGATCACACGCACTGCTCACCAGCGACGCCTCAAAAACAAACAGACTAATAACGTTACCAGACCCACTGTTTACTACAAGACTATATA